GTTCCAAGAAATAATAATTTTATGTAAGCAAAATATGAATAGTTACAGGAAATATGTATCTTTCCCACAATGCATTGTGAGACCCGTCTCTGCTGTGAGACTGCTCACTGCCTCTCTCTGGACCCGTTGCTATGGTAATTAATTATCTACACCTGGGCTGGTTCTCTCTGTCAGACAGTATGCTGGAGACAGAGTTTCTATACTTGTGAGACACCCAGCGTCGGTCTGAAGGACCCTGACACAAAACCATAAGCTCTAGCAAAATTTTAAATTTTTTTTACGGGAGCAGGCATGTGTATCCATGTCATGACCGACTTTTAGACCAATAGGCCGATATTTGTGCCTATGATAGGGAGTTAAAAAGAGTTTTTGGAGTCAGAAATCCACTGTGCTGTGTGTGTATTTCAGAGAGAAAGATTACTGATTCTGTGAGACACTCAGCCTCGATTTTTGTCGTCATTTTAACTCAGAATCCCACTAAAAGCAATAGCTCCCTTCTCGGGATCAAGCTGAATGTTTTGATACCACTTTTGTGGGGGTGCACACAGCGGTACGGGCCGCATTAATGGTGACGGAAGAAAAATGAATAAACTATAATAACTAGAAAAATAGCTGTTCCTAGCAAAACAGCCATGAGAATGCATATTTGCAGAATGACTGCTGCAGAATTGCAAGACAAAGTAGAGACAAGCATAAGAAGTAGAAAAAAGGAGAAGAAATAGAAATAGTTGAAACAGTTGAACAGTGAAACGTACTGTTGAGAAAATAAATTTAAAATAAGCTAGTTTTAAAACTTAACTTGTCTTGATTTAAATGGCCTAATTGTGGTTTTAAATCAGTAACTTATTCTGGCCTATTGATCGTTATTTTACTTGTAGTTACAGCACATGGTTTGCTAGGATCGTTTGAACTGCCTTTTGTCTGTGTGGGAAAACAATACAGTGGAAGTTGTAGCTTTTCACACTCATCTGTGAAAGGCCGTAAACACGGCAGGGGTTTTAGGCTTCAGATAGAGGGTCAGAGATAGCTCCTGGTTGGATGAGCAAAGATACGCCTTATTTGAATAAATTAAATACAAGAGGATAAAACTTTCTACACAGAAGTAACAAATCAGATTTTGCGCTTGCAACTTCTCCAAAGACGTCTTTGCCTTTTCTTTCATCTTTTTGTCTCAGGTAATCAATGTATGTTTCTGTTGTTCTGCAGTTTCTGATGTAAGTTTGTGCATTGTCTTACCTCTAAGTTTATGCATTGTCTTATATTGGATTAAATTCTGTAATTCTGTGATGTCATCACGCATTCTTGTTTTCCTTGTGGCTACACGTGGCCTGCCGAGAGGACCTGGGATCTAAGGAAGAGAGAGAGAGAGCCAAACTTTTTCCAAAGTTAACTATTTTAGAAATTCTTCCTTAACAGTACCAAACAGCATAAATTAGCAGAAGTGGAAATCAGTACAAAACCAGAAATAGTTGAAACACTTGAACAGTGAAACATAGCAACATAGGAAAAAGCATAAAATAGCAGAAGCAGAAATTATTACAAAGCCAGAAATATTTGAAGACGTGAAACAGGAAAACAAAAAGCATAAAGTAGCAGAAGAGGCAGAACAGTTTGATATATGAATTGATTAAAGATTGCAGAAGACCTTAAAAGATAGTAAAACCAGTAGAAGTAGAAGGCATACAGAAAAGTAGACAAGCAGGATGCATAGAAAGGGATAAAAACAGAGCACAAGAGAAAAATACATTGAAAGAATAGGAGAAAGTGTGACATGACTGTACTCCAGAGGAGTTTGACAGAAAACAGAAAGAGCTGTAGCAATAATAGTAACTAGAAAATTCCTGCAGAAATTTTGAGGGGCCTGCCAAAGT